CACCCACCCTTTTTTACGAGTAAAATAAAATCGAATATATCAGCCTACTATATAATAAAAAGCTATGTGAATGTATAAGAGAAACGAGAATACATTTCTGCAGTGAGTTATAAATAAAGGTCAAGTAATATCAGAGAAAATCTTTTTATAAATCAAAAGAAAACAAAATTAGCAAAAAAAGGTATGACTATCAAAAGAAACGCTTTATTTTTAGATACAGGAGGAGCCAGAAGTCTTGATCATTATTAACGTTTATGGATGTCGCTTTATGACGCTAACTTATATTCAGTGTATATGTATATATACATCTTTTTCTTTGAGGGTGGGTGTGGATGAGACTATGCGTATTCTATTCATTCCATAATCGCACCCTCAAGATATGGATAGCAGAATATAAAACTGATAATCAAATGGACAATGGATTGTCTCTAAAACTTCAAATCTTGATACTTTCACATGTATAACAGATGTAAATAGACCGTCAGCTATTTATACAAGAGTGACAGTGTTCAAATCGTGAATAGAAAAAATATTATTAATTAGATTATGACAAACTTATATTCAGTTGTCATTATTAATGTGTCCTCTTTTCATCTGCTCATCCTCGAGATGATTTTTCCTTGAAAATCAAAAAATATTGAATAATCACCAAAGAAACAATATAAAAGGCATTAACCAAATTTGATAGTTAAGTTCGTGACAAAATTCAACAAAAAAAACATATTCTTTATTATTAATATTAGTTTCTATTTTATTGCATCTTTCGGGGACCAGAAAAATAAAAAGAAATATGTAATGAAACAATTAATGTATATTCAACAAAAATTAATAAGGATTTAGAATTTTTCATTTTCTTTTTCTTAGAACGACTAATAATCTTCTGTATGATAAGTATGACTCAGCTCCATATATTACTGATTCTGTAAGTGTCATATTTACATAGGTAATGTGTGAAATAACCATGTGCTTTATCGCATGATGTAATGCAATAAGGTGGTATAATATACTGGAAAAAACCAAGAAAATTAAGAGGATAAATAGTGCCTGATGTGTGTAACAGACCACAAATATTCTCGACCATATCGATTCATTCCATTCGTTCATACTCATGGCCTGTGCAGAAAGTACTACGATCGACAATAAAACGTGTTCTTCCAAATTAAATAATGCATCTAGTGAAGAAGTACTTTTCGATGCTGTCGAAACAAATAATGTGTCCATTGTGAAGAATTTTGAAAAAGATGAACTTCAACGCTTATGCCAAATACCTCGCCTTTTCCCTTGTGAATGGTCGTTACCACACGAAGAAGCACAAACAGCTTATCAACGTGCATGTCTTCTTGGTCATAAAGACATTGTACAGTGTATGTTGAATGCTGGTATTGAAGTTGACCAAGGTTCCCTGGTGGTGCTTCGAATTATACTATGCGTGGAGCATTTCTTTTTGCTTGTCAATCACGCTCGATGCCGACAATTTTAGCTTTACTCGATGCTGGTGCATCTGTTAACAAATATGGTTCATGTTCTCTCGCCTATGCTGACTCATTTATACATAATATTTCTATCCATTATTCATCCACAGTCTGGCCAGTCTCTTGGGAGAATCTCTATCCCATTCACTATGCCATTGTTGATAATAATCTCGAATTATTACAAAAACTTATTACTCCCGATACAAACAAGTTAGTAACAAATCAGTGGTTCAGTCCTTTGCATATAGCATGTCTTTTCAATCGATCTATAACAATGATTGATCTATTGCTTTCCTATGGAGATGCTAATGCTGCAATAGTAGCCAAAACAAGTAATAACAAGTTCCCTGATGAGCTTGCAACGGATTCAATAATAATCGAATATCTTCGACCTACACGTATGTCCATTTACACAGAACAAGAGAAAAATCGTCAGAAGAAGCTTGAAGCAGGAACTAGTTTTCAAATTTTTATTAAAACTCTTACAGGTAAAAGCTTGATAATTACTGTTATGAAAGAGGATACTGTCGAAGATTTGAAGATAAAAATTCAAGATAGGGAAGGTGTTCCACCTGATCGTCAACGAATTATATACGGAGGAAAGCAACTACAAGATGATCTTACACTTTTCGACTACAATATTTCAAAAGATGCTACACTTCATTTGGTACTCAGGTTGCCTGGTGGATGCTGTCATTGACAATATTTGTCTTGTGATTGCTTGACATATTTTTTTGTTTAATGTTTCTGAATTCTATCTTGTAATTATACAAAACTTTTTATTTTATCTATTACAACATTCACTCTACCCTCTTTTCAAAAGTAACTCTTCTACACTAATTATTACATTTATCATTTCCTAGATTAACTATCAAAAATTATAATTGACAATCCAATGCAAATCGAAAATTTACCTTATGAACTATTTTTATATATATTTTCTTCTATCGAACCTAAAGATCTCCTCGAAGGATGGTATAATTTGAACTATCATATCAATATGATTTTACATTCAGTCAACATTCGTATCAACATCAAGAACAATGATAATTTTGATGAATTTGTTCCTTATTTTGAGCATTTTTGTTCGCAAATTACACATCTGAAAGATGAACGTTTCTCTACTTAACTCATTGCTCAAAAGAACAATACCAACATATTAATTCTGATAATCAACCTTATCTGACTCATTTTTTCTCTTCATCATTACCATGGTCATTTTATGAACGAATTCTTTTTGAACAAGTACGTTTTTCTTAACTTATATCAATTGGTTGTCCAAGAGGTGCTTCCATTTATTTACTGAATGTTACACATCCTATAAATAGAACAATTCGTCATCTTCATTTACATTCGGCATCAAATGAAATCATCTATAAATTTATTCAATATCTTCCTTCTGTTATTTCATTGACTATTGATTATTTATACACAAATAGTTCATCTTCTCCTCTGTTATTTACAGATTCTCGTGTTCGTCGTCTAAATGTTGTCAATGCTTTATTGTCTCAATTTCATTTGGAGCAGCTTCTCCTATCTGCTGGATTTCCTGATCTTACCTATCTTCGTATAACATTCGATACTTACGATTTTCAACAATTAGCATATATTCTTACAAAACTCTCGTGCCTTAAACACTTAAATCTTACAGTCAATACGTATCCTACTCATCTCAATTTGATTATAACTCGTCTTATGAGTCCTTGGTTTCTATCACTGAATTACAAACACATCATCAATAAATATAATCAAAAACAGACTATTCTAATCAATATTATTAGAAAATAATTAAACTAATAGTTGGATATTTGTTCAATTTTTCATATCCAGCTGTCATATATCTGCCTTCCTTTTTGTAATTGAAAAGAATTTGAACAAATATAAAAAATATTTTTAATCGCATCTGACGTTTATATGAGAAAAGGTGTGCATAACTGATACAGATCAATCTAATAAATAAATACAGAGTACTATTTAGCAGACGTGTTTTGTACTTTGAAACAGATAGTATTCTTTAGGACTATGTGAGATTGTTTGCTCTTTATCACACTCGCCATCGATTGACGAATGCCCTTTGATAACTGCCGTGTTATCCTACAATCAAAATTAAAGACATTTCCTTCCGATATTCTCAAATACTTATTTATATACAATCTGTTTTTTTCTTTCATTTATTATAACAAAGGAAAAAATAGAGAAAAATTTTGTGGACGAACAAAACATTCGTTAATGATCAAATTTTGTACTTGTAAACAATTGAGTTGCAATGGATTATTTGTAAAATTATTTGTTAACTCAACTAATTCTTCATATTTAATTTCAAGTTGACCAAGACAAGGTAAACGTGTATGTTGATTAAATAATAATTGTTGAATATAATCAATATGTAAACCATAAATATGAAGATTAAGTAGTCGATTGAATGTTACAATTGGAAATTGTTCAAAATTGTTATTTAATAACGATTTATCTTCTTGTGGTAACGAATTACATATCATTAATGTTTCAATAAATGGAAAACTTTGATTAACTTTATGGAAGAAATGATAATTCCAAGAAATATTATCATTAATAGCTAATATTCGAACGTTCGTAAAGATGCCACCTGTAAATGAAATACTCAATCTCATAAATGCTTTGAATTTATATGGAATTGAATAGACATGACATCTATATATGTTTTTTGATGAACTATGATGAACATAAGATCCAACTTGTCCCAATTTAGTGTCAATGAAACTTTGTTGAATATCATTATTAGAAGAATAATCATTGTTATTTGGTTCTCGATTAATAAATTGATAAAGATAAGTATAGATACTGAAATGAAATGTCTTCAATTGAGAAAGATGAATTAATATATTCTGTTTAAGATCATTTCCATCGACAATACGAAATGTATCTCGTCTTGAAACAGTTAAAAATAAATGAAGTTCTTCTAAATTCAACATTCGTTGTAGAAATAGTACAATGACATCATCGTAGGTATTTGTTCCGCGATATAAAGTTAATGAGAAATATTTCAATTTTAATAATTTTGTCTATTAAAGTAAATGATTATCATTGAATATTGGAAGATAAATGTTGACTTACTTTATTATCGATAGATGATGAAGATAACAAGATTTTGTCAATACAAATAGAACAATGAGATAATAATGGAAAACGATTATCAAAAAGAAAAAGACATTCGTCAAATGTATTCAATCGTATATCTAGTTTTGTCAATGTAGAACAAATTGTCGATGATAATTCAGTAATAGAACGATTTCGATTAAGAAATTCCATTGATTGATGAAAAGTAAAATCGATCAAACATTTCGACAATGATAAAATTAATTCTAATAGATTTAGCTCATCATTGTCATTGTCTATTTCATCAATGATATAAACATTCAAATGTGTAATTTGTTCATTCATTAATTTAATCAGACTAGAATTTTCTAAAAAAAAATTTAATAGCTTTTAATTTCAAAAAAAAGAAAGAATGATCATCACCTGTGAGATATTGAATAAGTTTTTTTTTTGAAAAATTCATTAATGATAAAGATGACAGTTTTGGATAATTGACAATACGAAGTACACGTTCAATTGCATTAGGTTCAAGAATAAATTTGGTGATTTTATTATTAATATGAGGCAAAAATTTTTCACAGATTCGATCAGTTACTAAGTCATTGATTGGATAAATGGAATCATTCCATGATTTTATTGTAAAATCAAGTTCGCGGACATAGATGTGATCGAACAATAATTGATCAAGTCGACTATGAACACCAGTTTGCCGGTATAATGTATCAACAACATTCATTTTTTTTAATATGAAAAAAAGTACTTCATCAGGTAAATCGAGTAAATTCATTCCTATTGAATTGCAATTAAGACGTCCTTGTTGATTGACTGCTCGCATAGACACATATATATGCCTATGTATTCTTTTTTTTCTGCTCGTCCGAAAAGACAATGGAATTGATATGAAGATGTATAATGATGTTACGTTATCAGACTATGCTAATTCCACTTGTGTATGAAAATATTCACGTAGCGAACGACCGACTCGTCCGATATGCTCAAAATATATTTAATGTATTCTCAAATTATTATATTGCATCGCGTTAAGAGTAAAACGTATGCTATTGGTTAAAATTTGTCGAATAAAGATTTCGATGTTAAAGAATGAGACTATCTTTTTGCATACTCAACAATATTTTTCAACTGATATTGACGTATTGAAAAATGTTAAAATCAACTCATATAAAAAGGGTCATTAGTCGAATAATTTCAGTGGTTGTATCTATGAATGGACATATTCGCTGTATACTTCAATCATCATAAAAACGAAGTATATTAGAGTACAGGAAAATATAACATTTTTTCTATGAAATCAATGCAGAATAACAATTATGTAATGTTTTTTATTTTCGATATTAAACATCATCAAACTAAAAAAGAATGAAAGTAGCACACACAATGTATTCACTTAAAATAAAATAAACAAAATAATTAAGATAATTATTGAAATTTAAGGGTGGGTGTGGATGTCGTTTCAAAAATAGCATCCACATTGTGAATTCTTTTATATATCGGGGGATAATGCCCTTGAAACTGTTTATTTTCAAAGAAAAGAAAAGACGACGACTCAAGAAAAGAACAAAAAAAGAAACTGACTCTCAAAACAAGAACACGAACATATATATCGTTCGTATCAAAGAACAGAACATGCATAAGAAAAAGAAAAGAAACAACATGAAAGAATGTTATTGCAGATAACATTCTTTCAAATAGAACCAAAAAAGAAAAAGAAAAGAAGAAGAAGCGAGAACAATGTGATCGCTAACACATATCCACATCCACATTCGCACTCACACCCTTAATTAAATCTGTCCACACCTATATGTTATTACTTTGATACCTTCATCAAGGACTTCTTCAGTTGTTTCAAGTTCACTTGTTCCAAATATCCATACAATAAGATCAATGAGATCGTAGCATTGATCAAGTTCATTACAATTCAGTAAAATACCAAAAACCTTCATAACATGTGCGCAGCAAAATCTAATGCATGACATTAAATGTAATTGATCCAATGAGTATTTCTTTTGGACTGCATTGAAACACCATTGTAGATACGACTGAATATTTGTATCGTTAGTACATAACAGTACAGTATTTAATCATGCTGAAGAAAAATCAATAACGATGTGAAAAAGTCAAATAAATCAAACTTTCTCAACAGCTGATTGATCAGTTAATAGTGCGCTAGCAAGTGGTAATAAATTGCAAGGGTGTGGGCGAGGGTGGGCCGGTGTAGTTATCATATTTATATGGCATCGGCACTCACACCCATATCCCACATCCACCCACACGGGGCCGTTTCATATGACCTAAATGATCGACATGGATATAAGGAGTTTTTTTTATTTTGTACACACTTTACAATCACACCCCTGTGTATACATAACGACAGTTGTATAAACAATGATCAATCAGGAAGAATATTGAGATAGTTAAATTTGTAATGATTTTTCTCGATCGTATAGGACTTGAAAACCTATGTGGGAGATGAAATACATCAAGCAGTAATAACAGAAGCACAACACAGGGACTGCGGACAAAAAATGCATCTTCTAGTCTGCAAAAAACGTTACATGATAAAATGATTTGGGAACAACCAAAATCATACGCCCTAGGATATGCAACAAATGAAGCGGCTAATAAAGCAATTGCTGAGCCAAATAAAAAGTCAAAATGAACTGTTCCATTTGAAAAAGACAATCGCTTTATCATTTTTTACGCTCTTATAACATTCAGTTCCAAAGAGTATTTTGCATGATAATATAAAGTGAATCTTTTTTTTCTTTGTTTGATTTTTTTAACCTACAGTTATGAGGTTGAGAGTTTTTAATGATCATTTCGTATTATTTTATTCGATATACTGCTTATAAATGTTGAAAAATAAAAAATAATATTTTATTATTCATCATAGTGAAAAAGTTATATATGACTTTATTGTCTTTACCAAGTGTCAAGCTCAAATAGATGATATGAATATTGTTTATTGACTTTTTCAGTCTGCTACAATTTTATTTTGATAAATTTCAATCTAAGGTTTTTGATTATCATACTTAATATATATGTGAAAAATTTTCTTTCCAAAGTAAAGATTTACCTCTAAAAATGTCTCATTGTAACTATCATAACTGAAAAAATATTCTCATCTTCTTCAAACATACCTACTATCAATAATATGATATGAAATGAACTGAGAGAATGAAAGAAAAGTAATTTATAAGCAGTTCATTCGCTTATATGCTCGATAGGCAATAAATTGAATTTTTTCACGTATTTCTCATTGTGTCTATTCTAGGGGTGTTACTTTATTTTTATTTTACTTTATAATAAAGAATAAAGTAACAAAAATCTTTATCTTTATTTTGTAAAGAATAAAGATTTACTTTATTGCTTTACTTTATTTTTAAAATAAAGATTAACTTTATTCTTTAAAAAATAAAGTTAAAATAAAGAATAAAGAAAATATTTTCAAATGATTAGTAATTAGACAAATAACTGATATATAAAGAGGTAATATTGATCGCAGTTTTTTCTGACCACCAGCCACATTCTAAGAAGGAATAATGCTAGCAAATGAACGTGGGGCATAAGAGATTTATGGGAAAAATTTCTTTATTCTTTATTTTAACTTTATTTTTTAAAATAAAGTAACTTTTTCTTTATCTTTATTTTATAAAGTAAAGATTAACTTTATCTTTATTTTATAAATATAAAGATTTACTTTATTTCTTTATCTTTATTTTTAAAATAAAGATTATCTTTATTCTTTATAAAATAAAGATAAAGATTCACTTTATCTTTATTTTATAAAGTAAAGATAAAGTAACACCCCTAGTCTATTCTGATAATACAGATGAGAAAGTTACAATAGCATATGGTTAGTGTCAGATGAGTTACAAAACGAAATACATTTGATGTATCTTTGCAACAATTCTCTGTTTCCCTAGAAAAATTGAGGTTACGATTCCTTGTGTATTTCTTTTACCCGTAATAAACGAATAAAAATAAAAGGGGTGGAGAATGGGTAATGCTTTTCTTCAACACTCACTGTATCTGTATTTACACACATTTCTTTTTTTTCTTATTTGTTTATTCACTTTGATTAGCTTAGCAGAGAGTACCGGTTTCTTTACTTAAGTGTTATTGTAAAATTATTCCCGTTAAAAATCAAATAGTTATTCTGCTTCTATTTACATTTTATTCAGTTTTTTTTATTAATCCACTACTCATTTTGATGAAGTCAACAGAAAGCATTTCTTTATTTATGTAGCTTTCATTAAGCGACTGACTTATTCGACTCGTAAACTCAATTGAGTCAACAAAAACAACAACACCTTATTCGATTTTTTACAACATTTATTATTCGTATAAAAGTGTAATGAGCAGTAAAGAATCTACTATAAGTTTAGACTAAAAATAAAGGTTTTATTTTCATTGGTCATTTATTGCTAAAGTAATTAATGAAAAGTGACAAAAAAATGAAAAATTTACAATGTATTCTATTACTTATTCTCGAACTGAGAGAAAAAAACGTGTGAAAGTGCAGTTATTTTTTATAATTTGAATGAGATATCTTATGGCTTCATTCTTGGATGATTCATATTAAAAAATTTTGAAAGGTATCAGTGAATTTTGCTAATACGAGAAACACTTTACTTCATAAAATCATACGTAAATCATCCTCATCAACACTTACGAAACTTTGTATCTAATATTTTGAAAGGGTATGATTGACTTAAGGTGTCTAGCGTACTTATCTCAAAAACATTCATCAACACTTAAAAAGGTTTACGGATCGATTAATAACAATTAGTGCATATTTACTTACAATAATACTACTGTGTTAGCATTCTTTAATGTTTTGTTTTGAAACAAGTTCTAATAATGCTCTTCTTTCTGTAGTGAAGAATCGAAAGTTACAGAATTCATAATGTCTCGCGAGTTTTATTGCCTACTTAGGTCACCTACTGTTTTGATTAGTTTTTTTTTCGTTGGTTTCTATCCTATGCGCTAAGTCGGACAGATCTTGAAGATACTGATTATACCACTCAGGATCGATGGTCAGGGTGTCTCTCGTTTATCTTATCTACACTATTCTAATACATTTTTTATATTCATTCTTTACGTATATTATTTAATATAAAAAAAACTGTTATATATTGTTTTTTAAGAAAAACAGAAAGATGAAATAGTTTTATATAACATAATAAAGATATACATTATTATCGGCGATAATGATTAGATGCAATCGACAAATAATTATTAGTTTTCTTACAATTATAAGTTTACTTGTGTTCATTAGGATCTTACATGAAATTTCATTAAATAAACAAAACAAATTATTAATAACTATAGTTGATTATCGTTGGAATCCTTTAGTAAATATACCTGTTCAGTTTAAAACAATAGATGATTATTACCAAGAATTTTATACAAATAATCAAGGTCAAGTACTATTTTATATAGACAACAATCTTAATAATACAAACTCTATACAAATATTAGCCGATGGAATCAATGAAAAAATTTCATTAATCGATAAAGAAGTAACAATAAGACTCAGTATGATTAACCGAAATACTGGTGAATTATATGATGATGAGGTTTTTAATTAATTTTATATTTAAATAAAAGAAAAAAATATATAAACAATTATATCAATAAGTCTTATTCTTTATTAATCTGGATTTTATTCATATTTTAATCTTTTGCTAACCAATACCAACACCAACACCCTCAAGATATAAGATATTTACTATGACATGTAAATTGAAATCATTATGCCTCACACTCCATGAGTCGACAAATTTCCGATAGATGTGATAGTGTTTGTCCTTACTCATGGCCTCTGTCATTAAGAAACCAACTGTTTATAATAAATCATGATTACAAAGGATAAAAACGATGATGAAAATGAAGGTTATCGCTCTCGTCATCTGTTGCTTTACTCGTAGTTATAGAGCAACTGCGTAGGAAGATTGATTCTCTATTGAAGTGGTGCGCTTGGGAAAGAAAAACATAAGGTATCCTTTCATGAAGAACTATTCTTTAAGAAAAAAAAGACATTGTCATTATACGACCCGAGCAATTCACTTCTTTCTTTTTCACTTACAAGGTGAGTCTCTACAAAAAGAAAAATGGTCTTCAACTTCGTTTTTTTACCCAGAGTTCGAAGATGAGAACACTAGTATGCGGTGAAATATTGAGTAGCTGAGTCCGAGTTTAAGAGTGCAGGGTCCGCTGATGCTAAGTATTCACCGATCTGCGTGTACTTTGTCAGATTTCGCCCAGTTTGATCCAAAACAGTAGAGAGATATCCGACCAATAAAGCAATTGAATCAAAACGATGACTGTTCAAAATATCTAGAATTTTAAATTTCTTCAGTACTTTTTCAATAACTCGGTTTCGAAAGAATAAACTTACCGTTTTGCTTGCTACAAACACTTCTTCGTTTGATGTCAGTTAGGATGGTCATCACATTTATGTTAGAGGATGCTTTATGACTAAAATAAAGTAGTAGAGCAGTCCTAATGTTTTCGTTTGGTTGGAGGATTCTACTCGACAAAAACTGATCGAAATTAATAATAAAAATGTTAAACAACTTTAACTATTTCTCATTACAACTATGTCCTTTTTAGATTATTTTATCATTAAGATTCGATTCATTTCTTTCACACAAAACATGACTAGTTACAATGGTGTTATCATCTTCTGGATTACTTTCCTTTTTGTTAATGTCGTAGCAGCAGATTCTAATATCTGTTGCATGCCAAGAGGACATCGTGTGAGTGTACGCGATTCCTCTGTCACTTTAAGTAATTGTACAACAAGCAGTTGTGCTATAAGCAACATTATTATGTCATACACACACTATCCCGATTTAGACAACTACCGATATCGTATCGACTTTAAAGCAGAACCATACGGTACTGGGCCATTCTTTGAAGGAACCACTCTTGGTTTCATAACTGATAAGACATCTCTTCTCGGTTTTGAGTTTACGTACGATGCTGAACAATGTACCTGCAAGAAAACTACCAAACCATCTGGTATTTATCATATTACTTGTGTCACAGATGCATTGCAATTTATCGATAACATTGGTATAGGTGTCCACTTCGAAGCTCAGTTATATAGATCCAACAGTACCAAGACTGCTGGTGCCAACACCATCCAACTTACTCATAATTTTATTGCTCAAAATTTTTCTGATGAAAAAAGCAATGTTCCATTGTGTGCTTTAGTTCATGAGGATATTGTTACTCGTGAAACTGTGACAAGCACTGGCCAGCTTGTCGCACTTTCTACTCGCACTATTGAGGTTTATAATTTTACTCCTCATGCAAGTGATAGTGATTATATCATTCCTGCTCACTGTCCTAGATCATGCTAAATAAATTATTCTAATATATAAACGAAAAGCTTTAATTTTATTGTGAAATTACATAAACAAAGACTTTATTTGAATGAATATATATTAGATAAAAGCAGATAAAGCGAAAAAAGTGAATCGATTTTTTCGACCCAAAGTATTGCGTTGCAATGCGTATATTTTGTCATGAATGTTATAAATTTTACGATGCATCTTGGTGAATTTGTGCGGTCCGTCGTTTACATCTTTCTTTTAGTTCATAAATCCAAGAGAGGGTAGAAGGAACTGCAAGTTTCAGAAAAGTTGTCAGTCCACCATAAAGACCTAAAAGAATTGTTAATACAAGAATAAAACTATTTCGTTCGTTCAATGTAACTAAACACGAAAGAGGATGGCATGCATCAAAGAATCGTTCATAGGATATATTTGGTGAGCATGTTTCAATAAACATTTCTTGTACAATTGAATCAATACTATCATTCGAAGCAAAACGCGTTGTAGTCGCATTCAATGCAGTAAATGAGTGTAAAGTAGTATTGACATATGTAGTGAGCAGATTCACACAAGATTCTTCGTACAAACATTCGATTGTACTTCGAAGAATCGATTCGAGTGGTGTACATCTGAAAGAAAATAATTCATCATTTCATTAGTAGAAATGTTTTTCTTACCCAACAAGATAACCTGGAAGAAAGGGTATTGATGATTGTGTACATGTTGATGATGTTGCACATGTACAATTACCGGATCCATAGTGCTGTGGATGTAAAAAGATGGTTGGTGAATCGCTCAAATTTCGAATGATAGGATACCAATTTGTTGTATAAGCTGAAACTAAACCGTTTGCTTGTGTCATACCTCGTATCAGTTGAAGAGCATTTGAAAATGAATTAGGTAAAGTTCCAAGAAAGTTGGCAAGTGATGAATTGATGAGTTTATCAAACAATTGAAAATCAATCATATTGGTAGAGATAAAAGATGATGCAAGAAACTTTTGACGAGCATCATTGACGGCATCTTGACCAAGATTACATAAGACAAGAAGACTCTGAAAATGAATAAAAACTGTGCCTTGAAGAGTAAATACATTCATTGCAGCATTTGTTACGTCAAGTGCGTTATACAAACGATATAATTCTTGAAGATAAGGTTTAGAAACGAACTGACTAGTACACACTTGGTGAAAACTGCATTTGAGATCAACAAAGGATGAATAAACATTGGCCAATTGTGTACAAGGACAATTAAGAGCATACGAACCATAGCGTTGTTGCATCTGTTTAAATTGATCCAAAGATGGATTTTGTACTGTGAATGTAGTCACTGAATAGGTAATTGTTGTGTAGATAATAAGAATAAATAATAATATGCAGAGAATGACGACATAGAGCCTTGTTGCAAGACGTTCACGGTGGATATTGCGTGTATGATACGGATTTTCGAATACATTGAACTCTTCTACGCGAGTGCGAATCTGCATACCAAATGTTTTAAGTCGTAATCGACGAGAAACTAAAAATGATCTCATTAAATATAGCAAATTTTTTAATTATCTTCTGAGGATATATTTTATTTCGAGTAACTGACATAATTTCTAATGAAAGATAGTACAGTAGAAATATTCTTACCGGATTGATCAGGTACATTTTGCTGACGTCTTGTTCGCTGAATGATACTGATAAATATGGCTATAACTAAAGATGCTAAGAGGCGTAAAGAGACAGAAAGTCCTCCAATTAAAGAAACAATTTGTGTTATTGCTTCGATAACAGTATTTTTTTCTGCTGTCTGATAGGAACATAATGTTGGTTGACATTGAACAAAATAAGCTGAATAATTTGGAGATCCATTCCAGTATTCGATAAACAATTCTGCTAGTAGAGAACCAACAGTAGCATTTGGTAAATAATGACTGGCAGAAGAAGACGAGTTTAGTAGCGTAAAATTGTTCACAGATGATACGTTATAATAGTTGAAAAGAAAACTCAAACATACTTGATTATCATAGAAACATTCCAATGTTGATTGTAATAGAGACTCAACTGGAAAACATGCAGTATATAAACCAGGTACCGTATAATGATCAACCCAATTCCCATGTGTACCACTGTAAAGACCAGTTGTTACTTTACAACTTGGATCATTTGCACATGCACATGAAAAAGAAGCATTATCATTAGTATATCCCCATGGATACATAGCGGCAGTAGGAGGAATTGATGTAGCATTTACACGAACGTCATAATTACTGTGAGCTCCAGTAAGAAGTTGATTGACAAATGTAAGATTACGCATTATTTGAAGAAAACCTTGAAAATCATTTACAGTTTCTAATTTGAATTGATCAATAGCAGAAAGTATTTGATTTGTAAACAGATCAACGCTAAGTAAATCAGCACTAATCAACTGAATTTGTTCGAATATTTCGAGTGCACTGACAATCGTATTATTGGAAAAAGTACACAGAGACTTGAGTAGTTGAAAGAGAGCTGCACTATTATGAAAATCACGATAGTAATTAGGTGTATCTCCTGCGCGAATTGTGCGAGAGACAGCAGTAATCCAACGAGATGAGACAAAATCACTCGAACATACTTGGTGATAGATTGGTTGTAAATGAACTAATGTTCCGTAAGGTACTGTTAATTGTGCACAAGGGCATTGAAGAGAAGAAACTAAACCTTGACTTTGAGACTGTTGTAATTCTTTGGCCATAGTCAATGAAGGATTTGTTACTTCGATTAATTTTGTTTCTGATCGTAGCAATAGATAAAAAATGAGAATAACTAAAGCAAACGTGAGCCAGACAATATATAAACGTGTCATCCAGCGTTGTTGTTTAATATCTGATGGCTGTTGTCGAAATGATGAACTGAATAGATTTAAATGAATAATTGAATGCCATAATAATTGTAGTAATGTTTGAAATCGTTCGAACCAGGACTTTTTGACTGAAAATTATAAAATTTTATGTGATATTATTTTAAAAATCTGTTTCAATAGATTTACCAGCTATGTCAGTATTGTTATTATCGGTATTATCAAGTGGTGGCGTTCGATTCACACAACGATGAATAAAACTGACTATGTATGGAACAAGAAGACGTAAGACAACCGATAAGCCACCGTAGAGTCCGAGTAGAGAAGTTAATATGTAGAGAAAACTTGAACGTTGTGCAATTGTATATGTGCATACTTGTGGTTGACATTGAGCAAAATATGCTGAATAATTAAGATATGGTGACCACCGACTTACAAATGATGTTTCAAGCAATTGATCGAAAGTATTACTTTCATTTGTCATATTAAATCCAGTCAGAGCCATTGGCGTCGAATTCACCGGTATATTCAAATGCATAGCTAGAATATAGAGTGCACTCTGATTGCTTAGGAAGCTACCAGTCAGCGATGACTGAACAAGTGATTCTAACGGCCAACATCCCATAAACCAATTATCTGGAGTATATGTTGCATTGATTGTAAGTATGCTAACTAATCCGTCATCATCAATTGATTCAATATCGTAAAATCCTGCTGGTAAATGACAAGTAGTATTGACATCACATGTACAATATTTAAGATTTTTCATTCCTTTAAAGTAATTTAGTTGAGCATTGAGATACCAGTTAACGTCATCATTTGTGTAAATTAACAATGTATATGGTGTTTGAATTCCAGACATGAATGTATTTCCTATCGTGAATGATCGATAGAAAGAAATACGCTGAAAGAAATCTGTAACTACATTTGTTTGAAATCTGTCAGTCATGGCTTTTGTTTGGGCTAAGAATAATCTTTCATTTAATAAATAACCTGAAATAAATGTTTCCGTATGAAAATTTTCTATATTGTTATTGATAGTTGTCTGTGATAAATCACATAATTCACGTAAAACTTGAAATTGATTACTGGCTGTTGCACGAAAATCAACAACAAAACGCCAAAATGTTGTATTAGTAAATAGCAAATCGATCCATTTTTGAGAAATGAATTGACTGGTACAAATATCATGATATTCGACAAGAAAAGCAGCAAATGAACTGGTTAAAATCGATATTTGAGTGCATGGACATTTAATCGTAGTATCGTAGATCTCCTGAAGCTCCATATAAGTCGCAAGAGATGGATTATTTACTTTTAATTGTTGTGTTTCCATGCGTATGCCATTGTAAACAAGTACAATTGATAAGCCAAAAAAAAGAAGAAGCAGATAGATTCGCGTCGACCATCGTTGAAAACCAATTGTTACTTGATCAGTTGCTTCAGTTTCGAATAGATTTAGCTTGATAAAGTACTGCCATATTCGACAGTAGCCAACTTGTTCCTCCATTCCGTTTGTTCGAATTGAACTAGGAGATTAAAAAAAATATCACTCTTCGAAACTATACTATCTATTTAGCTGTTGGTTATATTTCCACTCAACTGAGCGATTCCGGTATGGAATTCCAGAATTATGAGGAGCTCGATCGATAGTACTGATGGATGTCGAATCTCGATTGAGAAATGGAATTCCGGGAATTGGTCTTAATCAATTCTGTAGCGGAACTGGTTCCGAAATATTCAGCATCGTGTAGGATAAGAAATGACTTCAGTTAAAAAACACAACTCTGTCGCATATAACAGCTAAACTAATTCTTATAATAAATATCAAACTCTACAAAATTTGAAGAAAGAATTGTATAAAAAGACAAAATCAGGGTAATACTTTGCTAACAATCGTATGATGTATCAAACGTCTTTTCTTTAAAAATGCAAGAAAATTATTTTTTTACAAAAGAAATACTGCATGTTGAATAAAAAAAACCTAACCAATTGAGACGTTCGCGTTTTCTAGTAAGAAAAAAAATCTTTGTTTGAAATGCAGTTGGAAAAAAAATAATTAGTTTAAACAATTTTTGCTTTACAGTTGAGAAAGAGAGCTTCTATGTAAAAGCATAGGCATTGCCTATAGTTACTCTCACTGAATTGTTTACTGAAAAATGTTTTAATATGTTTTGCTTGTTGTTATAGTGTGATAAAGTCTTTTTAGAAATACAATATTTATGTCTCTATGAAAGAAAAAAATGTTAAATATAGTCATATTGTTGATAACACTCATATAAACATCAAAATGTTATTATCAAACGACAACAACAATATGAAACGATTTGATTAATAGATGGAAAAATCATGATTGCCGGCATCAACATCAAATTAATTATTTTATTCATCGGATTTATTGCAATAATGATAAGAAAAAAAATCATCAATAGTTACTATTCTTAGTCAAATTCAATGTTTTTTTTCTAACTCTTTTTTGTATGTATTCATCAATTAATATTATGATAATAAAATTTTAAAACTGATGTGTCGCACACAGATTTTTGATGTTCGGTTTTTGATTGGATATTTCTTCTGTTCATTGATAGAATTATTAAAGATTAGTCATCTACTAAAGAACGTAAAAGATAAATTATGAATATGTCTCTACCATTACTTTCTGGCCTGGAAGCGATGAAAGAAATAATGTTGTGATAAAACTCGTTGTGGTATGTGCAGAACGCAAAAGAAAAATAATACCATGTGATGCTATTGTGCATCGTCATTCTTACAATTTGTCTTTCTGTACGCTGACATAGCACTTTTTTCTTCTTATATAAACGTTCTAAATAATAGTCAAACTCACTACATACCATTGAAAAAAACAGATTTATTTATCAGAATAATACAAATGGAACATAATGAACACGTCCTTGCACCTTACAATCAAATTCTTGGCACTGCTTCAATAAATGTGCCAGCCTATTCTAATACAGATGATGGAGTCTTTCATATTGGACGTCATTATATGCATGGAGTCTTTCTTGGAGTTAAATGGCAATGTGTTGAATATGCACGTCGATGGTTATTATTAAGAAAAAGTTGTATTTTTAAAAATATTCGTTTTGCAGCAGATATTTGGGAGTCATTAACTTCTGTTGAACGTGTAACTGATGGAAAACATTTTCCTCTAAAACCTCATCCAAATGGTTCTCCGACATTACCAAAAATTGATACATTTCTTATTTATGCTATTAGTACCGAACAACCCGTTGGTCATATTGCTGTTATTTGTGATGTTGGACCAAATTATATCCGTATAGCTGAACAGAATAATAAATTTCATTATTGGAATGGTGAATATGCTCGAGAAATTCCCATGATACAAAAAGATGGTTTATATTATCTTGAAGATGAAGATATAATTTATGGATGGATGGAAATTGAAGACGAAAATAATGAATTAAAGCCATTAGATGAATCCGTAATAAATACTATTCATCCTCAATATCGAGAACGTCTTCCAATAGGTAAACTTGAACGTTGTATTATTCCACAAAAGAATGATGGTATAAAACGTTCATGGTTAAATGAAGATGATAAAACTGAAAAATATTTTATCGAACATTTCAGTGAAGATTTTCAACGAGCAAATAATTTTTCCAATAATTTGTTATATTATAAAATGAATATAGATTTTATGTTTACGATTTCTGAAGCATCGAATGAATTACATCAAATGTTTTTAAAAGCAACAAATCATGTTATTCATAATGATGAACTTTTAAAACGTTTTGGAATACCGGAAATATTTTGGAATCGAATTCGTCATTCATGGAATAATGATCAACATTTAACGATGACTGGTCGTTTAGATCTTGGATTTGATAGAAATCAAGTTAAAGTATTGGAATATAATGCTGATACTGCGTCGACATTATTTGAATGTGTTGTTATACAGAAAAAATGGGCAGAAGCAGTTGAATTACCATCTAATTTTACGTCAGGACGACGATTACATTCGATTCTAGTTGGTAATTGGAAAAATATGAAAATTAACACTCGAATACATTTATTAATTGATGATAACAAAGATGATATGCTTACCGCTCTTTATATGCAAAATGTATTGAAAGAAGCTAATATAGAATCTAAACTTTATATTGGAACTGATCAATTATTTTGGAAAGATGGTTTTATTGTTGATAACGATGATGAAAGAGTACAATTTGTTTGGAAATTATGGAAGTGGGATAGTATTATTCATGATGATCATGTCATTGAACAATCCGATAAAGAGAAGTATCATAATGGTGAACATCCACGAATTATTGATATATTATTACATGATGATATTAAAGTTATTGAACCTTTATGGAAAGTAATTACTAGTAGTAAAGCACTTCTACCTGTTCTATGGGAGATGTATCCAAATCATCCGAATTTACTTCGTAGTGAATGGAATCTAACTGATGAACTCAAAGAAACATCATTCGTTAAAAAATTAATTTCCCATCGTCCTGGTGATGATAGTATTTATCAAGAAGTTTGGCCATCGGAAAATTCTAATGAATATCATCCTGTGATCGGTAGTTGGATTATTCGTGAGAATTTTGGTGGATTTGTTGTACGTGAAGATCAAAATTTAATTAAGAATAAAAACAGTTCAGTAGTACCTTGTTGTATTGTTTGGGAAGAAGAAAAATAAAACTATAGATTCTCCTTCGTGTTTCATTTTTCTTTTTTTTTTGACGCCTGTAGTCACCATTTAAAGGAGTCGAACGAATTAAGAAAAACATTGTAGAGACACAAAGATAAGTTCTAAAACGTTTATATATGCTTTATGTGATCATCAAGATATTTGTTGACGATATAGCTATGGTGTGAGTGTGGGTGATTGACGAGAATAAAATGTCAGCCTAACTCATACCCTGTTGCCATTATTGCTAATGTAGAGTATAAAAATAAATGGCACACAAGAACATTAGAAATCAAAAATAAAAGTGAAAGGAAACTAATAATGGCATCATTAGTAAAAAAAAAGGTAAAAATCATGCCGAACAGGAAGTCATGCTTATTCATTAGTGTCTAGATATTATAATGATGATTTTTTTATCTCGGTCGGATTGTGATGTTTTATCATTTTTTGAACAAAAAGAAGCTGTTTGTGCCTCTCAACAATATGATAAATCATTTGAATAAAATAGTTTTTATTCTAATTTCCTATTTTATTTCATTTGACAATTGTTGGTCAAACGACCATATGATCGTAAAAAAATATGAATTTGATTATATCAAAAACTGAAAGACAAGAAACCGCCGTTTGGTATAGTAGATATAATATCCACGGTCAAGATGGTTAGTTTACTTCATTTATCGTTAGAAGAAAATGTTCTTAAAATTAATTTATTTCTGTTCTATTTATATGAGAAGGAATATCTGGGATCATTTGTTATATTTTTACTTTATTTCCTTACTGCTATTATTTATATCCTTTTCTTTTTTGCTTTGTTTTTCTGCCACTAGCAATTATTTATATATATATTTATGTCCTACACTTATCTTTTTCTCGCTTCAAAGAATTCACAGAAAACATAAAAAACATTCATGTTATTGTCTAAATAAAAGGAGGCGTTAGCGAAGTCTATCATTTTGCGCATTACATTAGAGAGATCAGTCAGAAATTTTTATTCGTAGTTCATTTAGAGTGAGATAGCTATAATACAAACAGAAATGTTTTCAAACAAAATCTGAAGATATAACAATCGTAGATGTTTATCTGACATTTGTTTTTAGTGATTTAGAAGTATTTTCGTTTAATAATACGACACGTCTGAAACGAGAAGGCGTGAATAATGAGATTGTACTGACAATCGAGATGTTATCGTATATCTTACCAAAATTCTCATTATTGATACATGCTTGACAGAAAACTATGAAGTTTTTGTAGAGAAATCTTTGCTCTTTCTTTTGGTTTATTTGTAATAAATTTTGCATATTAGTATTTCTCCAAACCTTATCTTCAGGCTATTTAAAAACTGTTATATGAGTCTCACGTAAGTTCTGAAGCTAGATTATGAAAGAGTAGAAAACTAAGATTCTATTTTAAAGTGTTAGAATTTCTACTACATAAGAAATGTTTGTCATCAATGGAGAAACATCATCATCCATGAAACATTTTATATTTTCTATTGTTATAGTATCAAAAGTAGTAATGAATAATTGTCACATGGAAGAGAATGTTATGAATCGTTTTCTAGATTCTCTAACAGTCTTTTTTTTATAACAATGGTAAATATTAGTAGTAAAAATGTTACGACTAACATTAACGATTCAAATAGCCCAGTTATAATTTCATATATCAGTGGTACAATTATTTTCGGTTATTACAGCTTACTGGTGGTTATTTTTGGGACACTACTTAATTTGTTAATGTTCATTGTATTATGTCGCCGAACTTTCCGTGATGCGCAGGCAAGTTCAACACTGCATTATATGCGTGCAATCGTGTTCTTTGATATGCTGAAAGTGTATGGCTGGAATTTAGACAACTATTTAAAGATCATTCACGGATTCACCTTGACCTATTCCTATACAATTGGATCTTGTAAGTTCTTTCTTTTTTATAACTATTTTATATATCACGTCTCAGCATGGCTGCGTGCATTCATTTGTCTTCATCGATACTTATCTATTAGTCGTATTCAACCTAATGCTTGGTTCAATCGATCAAGAAATGTGCTCATGCTCATCAGTGGTATTATTACATTTCTGGCTCTCTTTAATTTTCACTTTTTAGTATTTGTATGCTATCGCGATGCTAGTGGACGGATCATCCCAGATTCAAATCTTTATTATGTCTTTCCAACATTTCGCCAAGTGAATTTCATCATTGTGATTTGCCTTCCTGCCTTGCTGATGATATCAGTGACCTGTAATGCAGTATACCATCTCATTCGACTACGAAATACAACCAAGGTACAAAATTCACATGTTCAACATCGAGCTATATCTGCTACGCTTATATTCTTAACCTTTCTGTTCATCGTGGCAAACACACCATCTGAAGTTTCCTATGCTTTTTTCTATGAACGCCTTGTTGCAAGTATTTGGGGTCGTCGTATATTAAATACGTTTGACGTATTCTTGTATACATATCCTGTGTTAACCTTTCCCACCTACTTGGTGAGATATAAAGAATTTCGTCGCGAAGTATTTGGTTTACTAGTAAGAAAGAGAAGAGTTCACCCAACAAATGAAGGAAATAGGCAACCTCGTATCGTATAAATGGGATTACAGCGCTTATCCAATAGTCATCATTCACAATAGCAAGATTTATATTTTTAAAGCATTCAAATTTATGTTGTTTGTTTGTATAACACATCCTTTAATAAAATCCTACAAAAAGAAATCTTTCACATATATGTCTAAGGTAGTTATCTATTTGCGGTATCTTATTGAGTAACTCCTATAAAATATCTCTGTATTAAGAAATTAAACAAGATTGCATCAGTATTATCGACTCTAAGTATCCATAGTACACGTTAAAACTGCGATTTATTGGAAAGTTGAGAATGTGCGTCTGAGTATAGGTAAGAGCAGAACACAACACCCACATCCTTAAATATTAGAAATAAGATAAATATGTTATTCATATATTCAAGTTAATAAATGAACAAATATTTTATATGAACTTATTTCTTTGTGAAAAACAATACTTTCATATAAAACTAAATAAATCTCATAAGGAAGATATTTTAGATTTAAAAAATGTTGCGTTGTTGAATAAATAAATAAAATCTTTCTCTATCTTAATCTATAATACCTTTATATTGTTAGATTAACTTTAGACAGAAGTTTCTCAATTTTAATATTTCAAGAACTTTGTAGTTATTAATAATCAACTAATAAAAAAGATTTCATTATTTTATAATATCAATTAACTATTAAATTGAATTTAGTTTTGTATTATGGGTGTAGGGATGTTATAACTAAATCACACAAAATATTAATCTTGTGATAGTAAGAAAGATTTTCTTGCATAAAAATATCTTTTAGTCAATACCAAGAGAAAAACCTATTCTGTCATTCTGAATCATTCTTAACCATTTTCTGTGACTCAAATTTGAAAAACTTTGAGGGTTTCCGACAATTGTAGTTAGAACTTCATGAACATTCACTTTTTGGTTTCTATTCATTTTGTGAATTGTATAAAACGATATCTTCTTATTACAGTGCATTACTACAACATTTACTTCGACTTTTTTATTCTTTTTCTAGGAGAATATAGTTGTTAAATATATTTAGTTTTTTGAAAAATATTGGTAACTACATAAAAATGCGTTGAACATGATTCTATTCAAGCACGTTAAAGCATAATACTTAAGAGAAAATATGTAGGGGAAGAGGGAAATCACAATATAGAGAAGAATGCACAAAAGCAAATGATGAAATAAATAGAATTGTTAAATACGATAATTAATAAAAATATGTTATGTATTGTATTAGATCATGCCACTCTATTCATTGGTATATCTCTTCTTGTAAGTGTAACAGTGCCTGTATGATGTGGTCGTCTCCGTACTA